TGAATGGATAAACAAGTTATAATACATTCCTCCAACAAATGAACACGAGTCAGGGAACAAAAAAAAGAGGGCACAAACTAGTGATCTTTGTGTTACTATGGAAGAATTTCAAAGCATCCAGTAGAGTGAAAAAAGCCAGAGGCAAGTGACTATAGTACATCCTCTATGATAACATTTATGTAAAGTCTTGAAGCAGCCAAATGCAAGTTACAGGGCTAGAAATCAGAACAGTGGAAGGGAAATGGGGAGTGCAGACACTGGCAAGGGACACAAAGGTTGATGGTTACCCAGTTATGTACATTTGTTAAAACTCAAACACCACACTTAAAATGTGTATTTACTGTATGGAAAGTACACTCCAATTTAAAAAGTTGCACAGTTATCTGGTAAACCACAGGAATCTTATTTCCTGTTTCTGGGCTCTTGGGACACAGGCGGTAATAACTATCAAAGAGAGACTTTCACAAAACATTAAGATAAACTGTTAGATAACGATGGTTAAGTATAGATTCCCTAAGCCTGCAAAACCAGACCCTTCTTATAGGTCAAAAAAAAAAAAAAGTACATTTAAAAATATACACTGAAGCTAACAGATAACAAAATATTTATTTTATTGTTGTAAAATTAAAAATAGTAGACAAGCATATGTAGTTACAGTTTCAAGGCAGAATACAAATATATAAATTATTGCAGTTTTAAAAGAAAAAATTGCCAAGTAATGTCTAAAACTTTTTTAAAACCAACTTGTTTTTCACCATTGCAGTTTCATTTTCTTTTTCCAAAGACTCTAGCCCAATTCTGTAAAGTAAATTTCTAACAGCAAAAAGAGATCAAGTTCAATGATCACAGTATATGCTACTCAGATTTAAAACAAGGTTAACACACACATACAAACCCTAAAAGTAGAGATGATGGCATTTAACAGAAATCACAATGTAACACTTTCTAAACTCTTTTGGAGACAGCAGAATGAAAATAATTATTCTACATGTTTCAAGAAAAACACATTTACTAAAATTCTTTTTGAGGGGTGTGCAGTTGAGGGAAGTTCAACGAACACTTTTTTGGGGGGCGAGGGCTCAATATTCATCTTCATGATTTTTTGGTTTTACTTTGGTAAGCTTAAAATTGTGTACTAATTCAGTTTTACTAAAATGCATTAGTAATTTGGACTCTTTTTAAACTAAAGAGAATAGGGAATGTATATGTTACAAACTAGGTGCTAAAAAAATCTTAGTGCTATAGACTTGTTATGATTGGTTCATAGCAAGGTGACCAAATTGCTAAAGGAGTTAGATTAAATTATAACAAGAGCAATTAGGAAGGGATGATGTGAATGCAGACACTGACGTGTAGGACAAAACCTCGTTATTCCACAGTATGAGAACCCTCCTCCAAGATCCCTTTGCTTGTGCCAGAGCCCTAGTACCTTATTATTCTGCTAAATAAACTCTTTCCCACCCCACCTACAAAACTTAATGTGGCAAGAATAACCTGTTGAAGGTTTTATCTCTTACTGATTCTCACCACAAATTTCCTCAAATAATTATTTCCACCGACCCAAAGTTAAAAATGCAATTAAACACTGAAATGAAAATCAATTGCCCTTGCTTTACAGCTGCATCTGAACAAAAGATCTTTAAAAAGTTTGTAGGGTACTAAACTTTTTATTAAATACTTAAAAATACTCAAGGTATCTTACTTTAACATAAGCAATATCTCAGTAAATCAGAAAAACACTATAAGAACTTTACATTGTACCATTTGAAAATTTTCATGTCACAACCTAATTTTAAGGTCACCAACTGAACCTCCTTCTAAGCTACACAAATAATTTATTCTTTAAAAGTTCTTAAGTTTAGAGCATATACATTTTGAATTGCATTTTACAATATTTATTAACACAAGCAGATTTCTTCTAAAACAAACCAAAATAAAACCAAAACTGGTAAACAACACACACAAATAGATCTTCAAAAATTAATTTAAAAAAACCTAGCAAAAACTGACAAGCTTCAACAGTGTAAACACCAAGGTAAAAATATGTATCAACAAAAAAAGTACTTTAAACCATTTTCAGTGGTAAAGAATGTGATCAGATGAAAAACCCAAGAAATTTCAAGATGCCTGTCGAGATCCCAACAAAATAGAATATATTTTGACTATATTTTTGAAATCACTTTCTAACATGAACTTATTTTAAAAATAATTCTCAAGTGTTACAAAAATGGGCACTTTGTGGTGAAATGAGCATAAAATTTGAAGAACTAAGAACATTTCTTTGCTCCAATATCTCAGGAACTACATGATGGAACAAAACGCCACTATTCTGCTCTCTGCATCACCTGTTACTGGGTCCTAAGTGCATGCCTTCTTTTTTTCCTTAAAGAAAAAAAAAAAAAGACTAATTTGGGTATTAAATGCTACGATCAAATGAGGATAATCTCAAATTAGAATAGATTTTTAGCTTAATTAAAAGTCTGAACAAATTTGAAAACTTTAATCTTGAAATAGTCTTGTGTGATCAAAATTGCTTTTGACTTCAAATTGATTTTTTTAAACTCAATTCGTCTAATTATGAAATCTAACATGAAAAAACATTAGTCTTATTTCATTCTCCCTAATCATATAAGCTCTGAAAATGTTAGTAACAGCTGATTGGCAGTCTTCTCCCTTTTGCTGTTTTTGAAACTGATGGCATGTATGAGATTTTCTTCTAAACTTCCTCAAAAAGTACTAACTATACAGAATAGCCAAGTACGGTAACCAGTATTTGTAGTATTTCATCTTCTCTCAAGATGGAACTTAATTCTCTCTTATTCTTATTTTAGCATATACAATAATTGCATATTCAATCAAGAAAACTAACATAGAAATCAGTTTACCAAATAGTTGGATAAACCGCTGTACAAAATCCTTCAAGAAAAAATTCTTTTACTACAATATTCATCCAAATAAAGTACTAATGTGAGTACCAGCACCACAGATATTTTTTTTACAGCACCTTTCCTTTAAAGAGCTTAGGCAGAAATATCTAAATGGAATAAATCAGAATTCTGAATTAAGACCTTAGTACATGCACCATTCCACCCAATTGTTCCAAACTCAATTAGTAAAGCTACATATTTGTCAGAAACAAAGCAAACACTTTTCTTTGGATTAACACTGTTGCATTTAGGACTGCACCATATGGCTCATACTCTGGAAATATGCTACTACTGATATCAAATGCAACACATCCCAAACTTTTATGACTGTCCCTAAGTGATCTAAATAGAAGCACAAACATGTGCGAACACACTGGCTAGTAACATTCTTGATGAATTATGCCAAAAAAGAGCAAAGTCAAATTAAAAAATGTGACCTAACAATTAAGCACTTACTAAGATATTTACTGGCATCATCAGGAAATGTCTTTATTCAACTTGTAAATTTATAAAGATTTTGATATTGCACACATTCAGTTTAAAGCTTATCAAAACTAAGGCAATGTATCCCCACTCCCTGGATTTTAAATTCATTTTGGATGACTCAAAAAATTGACAGAAACTGAAAACTTTTTTCAAAAGCTCCAAAACCAGTTATGCCATACTTAAAAGAAAACAAATCAATTGTGATATCAATTAATACTCTCAGGCAAATTTAACACATCTTAGCATTACAAAAAGTTGTTTTCTACTAGATAGAGGCATTTCTTTGCTTAGTCAAATACTGTTTGTGTTCAAGACTCAAATCTGACCCACGCGGGGGCAGGCTGCCAGATTTAAGATAGAAGTCATTCATATCTTTATGCACGAAGCTGCCAAGCTAATGGGCTTTTCTGCAGATTCTTTCAAGCAAAGGATCTTACCTCATAAATATATTCTAAGTACCAACTAAAAACAGAATTTAGAGCCCATTTTAATTCTGCACTGGTTATAGATTTTACTACATAATACACTGTTAAAAAAAAAAAACGTATCTAGCTGTTCGAGATGACCTACTAGTTCAGAAGTCTTTGGAAACATCACAGGCAACTTCCAAGAATATCCTTTCGAAGTGGGCTTATTTTTTTGAACTAGAGTCTTATTTTTCTGTGTCAAGCAGTCTTCTCTTTCCTCCTTTAAATTCTAAAGTTTAGAAAAATACCTCCCAATGCCTTCTTTGGGTATGAATTTCAGTGATGCTGCTAAGAGAATCTGGACAGTTTAAGGATTCTTGAACCTGTATCTGAAGCGGCAAACAGAAGACTTTGAAGCTTTTTTCAAAGATAGGAAAACAATTTTGCAGCACATTCAATTTGACAGATACTACATTTGACTTGGAAGTGAGGCTTGACTTACTCTGTCCAAACTCTAACACATCAAAGTCATTAGAATGAAAATAATAATGAAGTAGAAGAGGCTTTTACTTCTACGGAGACAAGGTGACATATGAAAACTAGATCAGCATTTTCTTTCTGAACTAACTCAGAACTGCTTTTGTTAGAAAAAAATAATGTACTTTTTTTTTCTTGGATACTTGCTTTAAAAAGTCATTAATTCCTCTTTCAGAAGAGTTATTAGAAGTCAAAACAATTCAACTAGAGTTCTACTCCAAAATACACTTATCTTTGGAAAACAAGGTAATAGTAAAAAGAGCATATTAAGAGAATAAAATGCAGTGATCTGAAAGATGAACATATTCACACAGGAAAGTGTAAATATACAGAGGCATTCAAATACACATTTATAAAGAGAATGGAAAGGTACCTAAAATAGCATTTTTATATATAAAATTTTCATATTAAAATATTGCTCATAATAAATAAGAGGTGTATTATGAATTCCATTTCCCTCTTAAAATTATCTTTAGTAGTTCAGACTAATCTAAGGAGTTTTTTTAAATTTTGTTTTGACAGGTGAATTACATTAAAATATGTTTAATAAAATCACACTGTAACAGTAGTCACATGTGGTAAGTTAGGGAGGGCCATTTAGTAATTATGGGAAGAAAGATTCCCAAAATGATTAATTCTAGAAGACTAGAGTGTAACGATCTGCTTTATTTGGTGAAGATGTTAAATACTGCCTTCAGCTTTGTAAATTTAATGACCATAAAAAAATGGACCATAACTTTCTTCAACTTCTTCAAAGTTGGCATGTCTGGCAGACCAATAAATGGTAGGGGCATGAGGGCAAAGGATAAGTGTAAGTTTAGTTTAATTGTTTATGGGTAGGTGTGACTTCGTTCCTGTTCGCCCCACTTGCAAACATGGTAACTTGGAATAGTTCTTGAGAAGCTGTTCGATGGCGACATGGCGGACGTGGAGCTCTGAGGCCAAAGAATCTTTTTCTTGCACTTGGTGTGTTAACTCTTCAAAAACTTCTGTAAAGATTTAAAAGGTAGTTGAATACATAAATGGGTTCAATCAGTATCTACAATGGTTTATGGACAGGAAGTGCCCATTAATATCTCGGTCTGGAAACCCCTCTAAGAGGCTTTGGAATCAGACTACCTTCATCTCTGAATTCTTGTTCCTATGCTTTTATGAGTCTCAGGCAAGTAACTTAAACTATATTTTAATTTCCTCTTATGTATAACCTCGATATTGACAGTAAGCACCTCACAGGCCTACTGTGAGGAGTAAATGAGATCGTACTGGTAAAGTACTTTCCAGAGAATAAGCGCTTGATAAACAGAAGTTGCTATTACTATTATTATTGTTACACTGGCTGTGGAGTTAAGGGGTTATGTAATCCTTAATCTGTTATTAACCCAATGCATGATCTCTGAAAGCACCTTAGTGCTCTGAAGTGTTTCCTCACCTAAATGGGAATCAAGTACTTTAAAAAAAAAAAAAAAAAAAGGAAACAGCTGGGGAATTTGCACATTAACTGTTGTTAGTGTTAGCATACTATTTGATGATGTTAAAAGAATTACTAGCTGTTTTTCTTCTTTTTTTTTTTTTAAGGTGTGATAATGAGGTTGTCATTACCTTAAAAAAAAGTTGTTTTAGAGAAAACCTGAAGTATTTGTGCACAAACAATATGTTGTCTGGAATCGTTTCAGAATAATCCATGCTGGGGGTGGGGGTGAGGTGAAAGGAATGGGTGCAAGTAGAGATGAGAGAAAATTAGCTATGCTTTTGATAATAAGTTGAAGCTGGTGAAGATGGGTCAAGGGGTTCACTATACTCACTACTTTTGTGTTTGAAATTGTTTATAATTTAAAAAGCTCCACAAAACAGGGCTAATACAACCTTGTGGAACTGTTAGGGAGTGCATGCATAAGTGCCTGGCATAATAAACTGTTAGGATGGGGTAGAGGTTCAGCTCAGAGGTAGAGGTAACAAGAAAAACTTATTTCCTCTTGATTTCATAAAGAAGTTGTTTTCTTATTCTTTTTGCACTGGAAACTCCAAAAGGTTCTAATCCCATTTCCAAATTTAAATGCAGATAAAGCTAACAGTGTCCTGTCACAGGGGATTTTCTATATCAACATTTTCACATGCATAAAACATTGACACTGATTCTTTACCCTGTATTTCCTGTCGGAGCTTTGCTTTCAGTTGCTTTACTTCACGAAGAGTCATTGAATTCACTGAAACATGAAAATATGTTAATTATTACCACAATAGGAAAATAAACCATCCAAATCACTAAAACAATATCCTATTTTTATTTTATTTTAATATTTTATTTATTTATTTGATAGAGACACAGCGAGAGAAGGAACACAAGCAGGCTTCCTTCTGAGCAGGGAGCCCGATAAGGGCTCGATCCCACATGACCTGAGCTGAAGGCAGACGCTTAACGACTGAGCCACCCAGGCACCCCAACAATATCCTATTTTTAAAAAAACACTGTCACTTATCTGTCAATATAGTATTCACTAGTATTCTAGGACTCATTCATTTTGCAGGGTGGAGGACATTTTCAAATCTCGACCGTAACCCACAGTAAGAAACATTTTACACCAGTACACCTCCACCTGAATCAAAAGTTTGCCAGAGAATACTTAGTATTACATTCATTGGATTCTGTTATTTCCCTTTGTTTCAGTTTTTCTAAAGTGCTAGAAGTCACTACTCATTAAGTTGATTATACTCAAGCACTACATAGTTCATGAGGCACAGTTGGAAAGACACAAAAGTACTGTGGAAATAATGTGAAAAACTGATTTGTCTACCTTGTTATGTAACCTTAGATAATTCATATGTAGAATCAAGAAGTTGTATAAAAATACCCCCATAGTCCCTTCGAGCTCTAAAATCACTTGACTTAGGAGTCAATTAAAATTATCTCAGCTTCTGTGAGTTTTTGGAGAAATAAATGCAAACTGAAAGGCTCACTTGGTTTCCAACTTTAAAATAAGTGCACACATTACCTTTGTCCTTTAGTGAAATGTCAGATTTTGGCTTTTGAAATGCCACCCCAGTCAGTGTTGTAGGGATGAGCAATGGGACAGTGTGTGTTAGCCAATGCTTGAAGACGTACTTCTAAACTATATGAACTCTGAACTTCCTTCTGTTTGTCAATTCCATTAGTTTAATAAATTTAAAATGGCAAAAGATATGATGGACTGTAGAATTTGAATGCTTTACGACATAATAAGGAGTATTTCAGAGAACTGATGGAGAATTTTTTGGGGGGGAGGAGGGGAAAGGGCAGAGGGAGAGAATCTTTTTGGGGGGGGGATGGGGTGGAGAGACAGACTCTTAAGCAGGTTCCACGCCCAGCATGGGCCTGACACAGGGTTCCATCTCACAAATTGAGATCATGACCTGAGCTGAAATCAAGAGTCAGATGCTTAACCAACTTAGCCACCCAGGCGCCCCAAGACACCTCATTTTTGCTAGGGTGATCCGGTCATTTAAATATGCTATAAAAATCTATAATTCTACAGCCAAATTCTTGACATATCACATATATAAAAATGTGAAAAAACCAGCCAACAAAACTGCAATCTTTACCTTTCTCCCCATTTTACTTACATTCCTCTCTGCTGTAACGTGGATGCTGGACCCGGACATTAGCCTCTGGATTAGAGATTATCTCTTCTTTTTTCTGTGGCTCGTTGTGACTATGAGGCCACAATACACTATTGTGGCATAAAGTGGCACCTGAATCTTGCAACATAGCAAGCCCAAAGTCTGTATTTCCCCTCTGCTCCAATATTCTTTGTGAACAGTTTGAGAGGCCGCCTGTACTTCCATCTATCCACTTTGCAGAATACTTTGGTACTTGGGAGTCAAACTGTGGGAGTAACTTTTTATCTGGCTTATGCCTGAAATTTAACAAGTGATGCTGGGGAGTTTTAGAACATTCGGAATCAGAATCTAGATCCTTATTTTGTGCATACTGTACAATCCAGTTTATCTTCTTACTCAAAATGGTTTTAACTTCTTCATAAGTACTTTTTGAAAGTTTAGATCGAGGACAATCCTGGTTTGCGATCAAATGGTATTTTTCAAAGCAGTCTTTATGGCCCCTTAACGATTTGGTGTGCAAGAGATTTGATTTTGGTACTCCTATAGGAAAAAAAAAAGAAACAGAAGACTTAAACAGTTTGTTTTTTTTAAAAGTTGCAGTAAGAGTATACAAAAATCTTAGTAAATAAAATGTGGATGTCAGTCTGTGGTGGTTTGTAAATTAGAGGAAAAATGCTAAAGAAGATTGGTGTTAATAATATAAAATATAGTCTAATAATTTCTGCTTCAATTGAACTATATATTCAGTAAAACTAAGTTCTTATAAATAATAAAGGCCTTTCCAAGGACGCTGGTTCAGAGGCATGTTATTGCATACAATTTTAAAAAAGTACTACCAAACCAGCAATTTACATTTACAAAATGTTGGCCTTTACAGTATAGTGCTTTCTTCACTAATCCTCCTAAAGTACACACTTGCATAAATTTCTATTATAAGACTCAACAAGAGAAATGCTTGACAATTTTTTTTCCAATAAATACACAGTCAATCCTGTTCTTAAATTATGAGTTATGTTTCACTGGGGAAAGATACACCAGAACCAGAAAAATACACATTAATAAAAGCCTCAAAATTCAATGAACTGGTTAGATTTATTTTGTTAAGAAAATGAAAGCACCTAACATGTTTTCACATTTCTGTTTTAGCTTACTAAAACTTTATCAAGATAATTTTATCTTCTAGAAGAAACACATTACACACAATTATTTTTCATACAGCAGTAAATTCAATCTGCTAAGATACAATAACCAGTATAATTCTTTAACTCACAAATGTTTATTATATACCATAAGTAGCAGAAATATTCTTATTACACTTTTCTATCTCCCAACTTTTTTTTTTAAAGATTTATTTTATTTATTTTAGAGAGTACGTGAGCGTGGAGAGGGGCAGTGGGAGAGGGACAGGCAGACTCTACGCTGTGCGCAGAGCCCAACATAGGGCTCGATCTCATGACCCTGAGATCAAGACCTGAGCCAAAATCAAGAGTCGGATGCCCAAATGACTGAGCCACCCAGGAGCCCCTCTATCTCCCAGGTTTTAAGCAGAGCTTAAGTATGTCATTTCAATTGTTTTTTAAAATGCAGATTATAGAATACATTTTCAAAAACACAATATATTTCTTAATACAGAATACATTCATACATTTTCATTAATTCAAGCTATATTATTAAAGTCAAACAGCACTGCTTTTATACTGAAGGTGAATAAGGGATGGGGAGCTGAAAATTAATGCTTGCCAGAATTAACCAGTGTAAATCTGCTTAGCTTTGAAAACAGGGTAAGTGGAGAGCCACTCAGGTGCTAGGTTAAAAAAAAAAAAGTTAGCTGACTCCTCAGAAAAATTTACATTCTGCATTCATCCTTTGTTTTAAAAATTGAAGCTGTAACAATTTTATTAACCAAATTTCAAACTCTGGGCTAATAGTAAGATAATGAAGTATTTGCACTTTAATGGTATTAAATCAGGTATAAACGTGCTTGTATTAATTTGTTCTAAAACGATGTAACATCAGCCAACGGTGGGACCTGCTGAGTTTGCCAAAACCAGTGTTAAATGGGCTATCGGTTCCTTCATAAGTAAGCTATGTGAGTACACCTCCTGAGCAGTGATAATGTAATAAGCATATGGGAACAGCTGCTCTCCTGAGGTAAACTCAAAATATCTCAGCCTTATGTCTTCCACTGAGCACTAAAACTGAACTTAAACTGACTTTCATACACATTCTATTTATGCCTTTGCTACTTGTACTGCAGTTGTGTGTGTGTGGATGTTTTTTACAAGTTATTGTCTGATTAGGTCAAATTTTCAGCAAAATTAAGGTACTTGAAGTGCAAACTCTCAAAGCTCTACTTGATGACATAGTGTGCGTAAATTAACACAAAAGGAAGTTTACAAATCTTGCTTATTAGAATAAAAACATTAAAGTTTTATTATATATGTTTTAGACCAGAGGTAAGATAAAAAGTAGCTAGTACAAATTATAGACCAAATAAATAGCTCCAATCTGCTGTTTGATTCTAATACTACTGCTCTGGATAAACAGGCAGAGAGAACTTGAATTTGCTTATTTTACTAATTGGAAGATCTGTTAAAGAGCTCCCTTCAGTCTCACTGCCAACATATGGCCACAGCCAACCCCTGAAACAGTCAACGGTATCGTTAGCCCACTGCCACAGCTCTAATCCATGGAGCAATGATTTAGTTGAATCTAATAAACATAGTAAATTTTAAGTTTCTCCTTCTGTCTATATGAAAGGAAGTTCTTTGGCATATAAAAAAGGGTTCTAAATTATGCTACAGAAATTACTTTTTTGCTGTTAATTTTGTGGGCTTTTGGTATTTATTTAGAAACTTCAAAAACTGTATTGATAAAAAATAAAAAATTATATAAAACGATGAATTTTGTGATATACCCAGAGTTTCAAAAGCAGGTCAACAGATGCCTATTTGAAGAATAACATGGGCTTTTTGAAGTTAAAGAATTTTTCTTATCCAATGTTCCTTCATAGTAATTTGTGAAATATAACTTTTCTTTCTTCAAAAATAATTTTTCTTTTAATTTTTACTTAAATCCCCCAATGAATGCTAGGAACCCAGATAACATGATTATATGCATATAGATAATCTTTTGAGATAAACAGCACATCAGAGAACTACAACATTCAATTTGCTGTGCAAATACATAAATGTAATATAAATGTCCGATTCTTTGAGATACTCAGGAGAAAAAGTCACCTATAAAAGACATGAAATAAAGTGGCTCTTCAAACAAACCCTGCCTCAGCGAAATGCCTTTTCCTCCACTCTCAGTACCCCCAAACCTGCTTCTCCTCCTGAGTCTGGCACCACCTGCTCAAGGAAGAAACCTAGGGGTCCTCCTTGACAGCTCCTCACCTTACCCATCCCAAATGTTTTGCTGTCCATTTTAATAGATTTTTTTCTGCCATAAAATCTACAGTACAGTACCACAAATCCTGCTTCACCCTTGGATCACCCCCCCACACACACAACACTGTCGGGTCACCCCTATCTCCTATCCAGTTCTTACTCTAAGAAGCTTCTTTTAACCAATATACCCGGGTTAGTTGATCAGACCAGACTTCACAAGTGCCTCTTCACTGGTCTTTTTCTCCGACTGTAAGTTCTGTGAGAAAGGGGACCGTATCTGTTTTACATGCATCCTCGGCATCATGCCTGGCACATGGCAAGTACTCAAGAAAAAGTTGTTAAACGAATAAAGGAAAAACTTAAATTATATTAAAAAAAAAACCCTAACAAAACTTATTACCAATTATCATTCAAGGTCTACTACAATGAACTTTTGCCCATCCTAGGCAAGGGAACCAGGCTGTGCAGTTTTGCCAGGGTACTCAAGAGGTTAATGAAAGAAAGCCATCTTCCAGTGAAGTTACTCCTGCATTTAGTTTAATGGGCCATTATTCTGAAGAACTCAATAGTGGCATGGATACAGACATGGCAATCTTGTGGCATCATTCAGTCTGCCAGGCAAAATCATGAACTTCTCCTCAGTTGTGTAATTTTAATAGAATTTACATGCAGTGAATATGTAAGAAGGCCGTTTTACACAAACTGTAGCTCATTAATACCTTTAATTTCTTTAAGCTCTCTAACAATTTGAAACTTGACTGAGTTTTAAGGTTCAATTTGAAAATGTTTGTTTTATAAACGTGGTTTAAAATATCCCACGCAGTAGCAGAGGAAACAAAAAATTCAAAAAAAATAATACACTGACTAGTTCACATATCTGAACAAATTACTTTTTAGTCTGGCAAAGAATGTTGAGTAGCCCACTTAATTTGTATCCGCGATATACGTGCCATTTTATAAACTCTTGAAGTGATTGTTTTTTTCCACTTCATCAGTTCGAATTATTATAAGAGAAACAACCATTGCTATTATCAGAGATCCCAGTGAGTCTCCCTACTGACTTTTCAATTTTAATTGCATTTACAAATGTAAACAGCTCTGAGCACTAATTTGTTTCCTCAGCAGCTTTTGAAAGGGAATGAATCTAAATGCAATTAAATGAGTTGATATTTTTGAAGAGCTGAGTTATAAGGAGTTTCCAAACCAGGTCAACAAAAATTGCATTACAACTTCCTTACTAATAAAGGAGGTGAAGGCCAATGTAACTGACACCCTAACTATTACAAAAACTTCTTTAAAACATACTTCAAAAATGTCCTTGTAAATTTTTTGTGATGACGTCATTATTATTAGAGAACCAAGACTTTAATTGGCAACCATAAATGCTTTTATTAAAGTACTAGTTTCTTCTGGACAGAGGCCATTTAGAAATTTATATAGGCAGTATATTTCTATATGAACAGTGGTATTTTAAAAAGTTCTGTTCCTATTCAATAGTTTTCTTTCTTTTTTATCTTTTCCCACTTTCATCTCTGATTCTACCATTCTCACATACTTTGAAAACCCTCCCACCAACCCATCTGGCATGCTATCCCCATTTCTATTCTTTAAGTCCCTCTTTAAGATCAATTTACTTTTAAGAAAACTTGGTTAAGCCCATGGAAGAGCAAAAACCACTCAAATACAGATTTTTTTTTTTGTCTACCTACCACAGTGGCCCTTTTAAAGTAAGGATTACTTCCATGCTTATATTTAATCTGCCTTTCGTAGTACCGTATTTTTTTCCCTTAATAAGATGATACTGTAAATGGCACTACAAAATGGGCAGAAAACCCGAAGGCTTAACAACTCCTATTACATGTCCCATCATCCTTGGATTTTACCCCCAGCCTCTTGAAGACCTGATTTGTGATTTGGTGGTAATGAGGTAAGCTAAGCAATCTTTTCTTAATGGTCCACCAGCTGGTCCCGTCAAATAGCACGCTTCTCAGCCGACTACACTGATGCTACATAGCTTTATGCTTCACACATTCTTGAAACCTATCATCTGGCTGCCTTATGCGTGCTTACTCTGTCAATTAGACTTCATTTTGAATTTGATTCTTTCATTTCCCAATCAAAGGAGTGGCTTCCCATAATTTGGTGCTC